TTTATTATAATAGTAAAAACTATTACAATATATAGTATACTATTACTATACAGCAGTACTATATAGATATTATAGTTGGAAACAATAAATTCATTGAAAAATTTATTTATTAATATGGCCAGGTTATGCCAAAGCATGTCACTACTACCTGTTCTACATGTAGCCTTTAGAGTTAATCTAAATTGTAATAAAAAAACTTGTAATAATTAGTTAAATTTAAATTTAATTACAATAATATGTAGTAACTTTGAGTTAATTGCAAATACAATATAGATTTATTATTAGCAAAGATAGCAAAAACTATTTCGGTATTTTTTTTAATAGTAATTAAAATTAAATAGAGTTTTAGTGGTATATTAAATTGCAAAAAATGTATTAAACTCTGAAAAAATTTTATTAGTAAAGTACAGTATTAAAATTTTTGCTTTTTTATTTATTTTATTTTATTAAAGATAAAATTAGCTTTTTTTTTTAAATAAAAAATATTAAATTAGAAATTTGCATAATTTACATATTATATAAATTTTGTAAATAATATTGTGTTAGCATCATTTAGTAGTCATTTGATTGACTCAGATTATACATTATCTGAGCCAACAAATGGCCATCAGAGACACAGAAATTATGCGATTTGTTTAAGTGCATTCATGGCAAACTGCATCAAATCACACAATTACTAATTATTTCATATTAATTTCTGTGTAACAGATAGCTCTTAGTGAACTAAATTGCATCAAATCACATTAAATCATATAATTTTCATGTTCCTGACGGCCACTAAATAATACTGATTCAATATTATCCATATTAATCAAAAAAAAAGCTGATTAATATAGGTTTGATACACCTAGTGATGCAACCTCCTGAATTATTAATATATAATTAATAATGATTATTAATTGATTGATCAAATTATTAACTAATAATATATGGTATAGCTAATTAGCACAAGATGTATAAAAAGTGTTAAAAATTGCTAGATATTGGGGATTTAACTTTTATTAAATCTATTAGTAGTTTATAATATTGATATTATATAGCGATAATCGAAGTTATTAATATTAAAAACTTGAAAAATTCTATCACTATATACACTATTTATGCATTGATTATTAAGCGATATAGTATATAGTCATGTTAATTAAAAAGTTATACTATAATAACATATATCCCAAACTTATATAAGTTATACTTACTTAGTTCATCCAATTCTAGTATCAATTAACAAAAAAAAAAAGAATTAAATAAATATTAACTTCAATCAAACAAACAAAAAAAAAACCTCCAGTATTTATTGATCAAAAGAAAAAACTTATAGCTGAAATTCTCAAATTATCAACTAATCTAGAACAATTTCATTGCTATTTCAAGTTAAGAGCTAATTTCTAACAATTTAAAGTCTAGAGCCGATTCTACTTATAAAAAGAGTGAAGTGAAATCAATAAATGAAACAAAAAAAAAACTACCACCAAAACCTATTTAAACATATACAGAGCTAATTCTAATAAAAAAGATAAAAAGGGGTGTGGCGACTTAGTGTAGTGGTCTAGTCATTATCCTTTCCAAGTGGCAGGTCTAGAGTTCAAATCCCACAGACAATAATATTTGAAAAATAGGCTTGTGTTTTGGTTGACGGCTATGCTTATCGGTTGGATCTAGAACTAATCTGTAACTTCAGTCACACTATCTCATTATGGAAGCTTTGGCACAATAAATCCAAGGAACTGGCATAACTGAAAACCCATTTGGGAAGTCCTGAATTAGGAGTAGCAGTGATCTTCGACGGTATTACAGGAAGGCTAAATTCGAACTGGGGCCTGAAATCAGAGAATCGAGTGACCAGGTCCGCTGGTGGAGAACATACTAGCTGAACTGCTGGATTGTATCACTAGAAAAAAAGAACATATGCTCCGAAAGTATGGACCAAGAGGAGGGCATTCCTTAGGCACCTAAAGCCTGGGCAAACCAACTCATCCGAGTTGCTAGCTGGAAGTAAGAGAGAGACTGATAAAGAATCTAGGTAAGAAGACGGCTAGAATGTGGGTACTGGGGTTGTTGTAAACCTTATAAGGGCAGGAATACATAATACAGTAGAAAACTAATTAGAAAGGTTGTGTTTAAGATACAAATCGGGTTACAGCAGCACTCCAAAAAGTTGATTTAAGATATGAACCCAGTGGCAGCAGTACAACAGATACTAATTAGAAAGAATTACTGAACATGCAGGTAAAAACATGTGTGAGACATGGACTACTCTGTTAGGTTTGTCTCGTGGATAGACTAGACTTAATATGAGGTTTAGTAAGTTCTAAGGTGGGTGTGAAATCTATAAGTGTCGCAAAATCTACTTCTAAATAGTGAGTTATGCCTTGGTTAGGTAGAAGCTACTAACAGTTGTAACCAGAGAGTTTAAATATATACCTCTCTAGTTGGGATACAGGTATGGCAGATAGTGTAGAATCTTTGGACGAACTACTTAAATAGGCACTCAAAAGGTGCACATGTGGCTTGATGTACCTTTGTTATAATTGTATAATGTTGTTTTTACTTAATAAATGTTCCTAGCCAAAGAGATCACCTTAATACTGAAAAAAAAAAAATAAAATAAAAATAAAAAGTAAAAATCAATAAATGAGAAAAAAAAAAAAAAAAAAAAAAAAGAGTTATAGTTAATATCTACTCAAATGTATCTAGACACAATTCCAATGATTCTAAATTTGAATATAAAATAAGTAGAGATAAAAAAATTAATAAATAATTAACCAAAAAAAAATCATTACTGATACTTATCCAATCATATCTAGTCTTAATTTCAAATTCCAACTTCTTTACAATCTTTATGTATGCTTACTCATTAGAGCTTCAATTTAACTCTGATGATAAGGTATAGGTATTACGATTAAAAGCCATCTATTTTCAGGGCTAGTTTATTTAACATGTGAGCTGTTATACACTCTTTAGCAGATTCTGACTTCTATAAACGATTCCAAATTCAGAGCTAATTTTATTTATAAAAATAATAGATCAAAAGAAAAATAATAGAAAAAAAAAATTAACTGCCAATACATATCTAGTTACAATTCCAACAACTCTGATTTTATTTGTGAAAAAAATGAAGAGAAAGAAATCAATAAAGATGAAAAAATTCATCACCAATATTTATCCAACATAATTTCAACGATTTCAAGTACAAAGCTGATTCTATTTATAAAAAAGAGTGGAAAAAGAAAATAAATGATAAAATAAAAAGAAAAAAAAAAAACACTGCCTAAATATATCCAACCTCAATTTCAATAATTTCAAGTTTAGAGCCGATTTTACTTATGAACAAGATGATCGTTTGAAGAAATCTGATAATATTTAAAAATACATATGCACTTGCTATTAAAACCAAAAAAAAATATAAAATACTAATTTCGCATATCTAGATTGAAAAAAATAGGCCTCCACATAGGCCAGATAGGGCCAGGTAATAGAAATACCCTAGCCTTACCCATTTGTATAAGGGCTTAACTTTTGAGCTCTTACCTTTACTCTAGGGCCCAAAACCCAATACCCTAACCTGGCCTGTTAGGCCCACAGGTATCTATGAACTACCTGTGAGCCTAAATATACCTATGTAAAATTACAAGTGCAATAATAAAACCTGCTAAATATTGCTACCAAAATTATATACATATGTTCAGAGCTTAAATTTATTAACTGATAATATAATTTATACCTAAATATAGTTGTTAGACGAAACTTTAAGGTTTTGCGCTAACAAAATACAAAACCTAGTTTCGTCTTTCATCAACTAAAATCTCAAATGATGAAATGACAAAAGGTAACAAAACTGGCAAAAGGTGACAAAACTAATGAAAGGTGACTAAACTGGCGAAAAGTGACGAAACTGATGAAACTGCAAAGGGTACAAAACTAATAAAAGATGAGAAACAGAAGCAAGTGTAAGTACGGACACCACTGGCTTTTACATTTATGTTTATATAAGACTAAAATTTAAAATATACAATTATATCAATTTTAATAAGTAATTTAAGAAGTAATTGATTAATTAAGTAAATTAGCACAATTACATCAGCAAAATATATAACCGTAATCTTACATAAGATATTACGGCCTGTAATATTGTGCAAGAATTACGGTCTAGGCATAATATTGCGCAATTTATTACAGAATATTACGCAATTTATTCCGGAATATTGCGCAATTTATTCCGGAATATTGTGCAATGAATTATGTAATATTACGCAAATTATTTCGAAATATTATGCCAAGCATTGTAATTTAACACTTACGAACCTCTACGAAATCACATGATCATTATTTATTAACATGATCAATTAATATATCACTATATGTTCTGTAATATTTACGTACGTATTACTTTATTAACATGATCAATTAATATATCACTTATGTTCTGTAATATTTACATATATAAAAATTTATTATTTATTTTACATATTAGGCTATATAAAGTTAATTAATTGTTTCTCATAACCCGGCTGGGTCAGTTTTTGTAAATTTTCAATACAAAATTTTATAAATTATTCACTATAAATACTTCCAGGTGGATTTTTAATAAAAATTTTCATATGTTCTTAATATTTTCTAGAAAATGAAAAACTTATAAAATTTTTACGATTAAAAATTAAAAGGCGGGCAGGCAGGTCACTTTTAGAATTCTATGTTATGAGAAACAATTATTTAATTTTGTATGGCCTTATGTAGAACAATTTTAAATTAATAGCTCCTCTAACTATAAAGACTAAAATTATTCTAATCCTAGCCCTAACTCTAAAGTCAACCCAGGTTCTAACAACTATTTTGAACTACACCAATACAAAATCACAACAGTCAATAACAACACAAGACAAAAAAAACCAATAATATAACAAGATATGATATGAAATTGTGCCAAGGAAGGTTTCAAAACAAGCACCTCAATTTTCATAAACATCCTAAAAAACAAGAAAAATACTCTAAATTCTTAAACCCTAATCTACCAGCCTTGTTGTAATGCCTTCGTCAGCCAAAACCAACATACAAGAAGCAAAACTTAAATGATATAATTCACCAAGGCACCAATGACGAAGCCAAGAAGATGATATACAACTTATCAAGATATCAACGACAAAGCTGAAACAATGATACACAGTTTACCAAAGCACCAACAATGATACACAACTCAATGACAAGAAACCAAAATGACGACATAAAACTCACCAAGGCACAAACAACAAAGCCAAATAATGATTTACCAAGGCACCAACAACGAAGCTGAAATGAGAATTCACCAAGACACCAATAATGAAGTTGAAATGATGATACACAACTACCAAAGCACCAATGACGAAGCCGAAATATTAATTTACCAAGGCACCAATGATGAGAAGCTGAAACAATGACATACAACTCACCAAGGCACTAGCGATGAAGCTGAAATGTCAATTCACCAAGGCACTAATGACGAGAAGCTGAAACGACAACACACAACTTCCCAAGGCACCAACGATGAAGCTGAAATGTTAATTCACCAAGACACCAACGACGAGAAGCTGAAATGACAACCCCAAGGCACCAACGATGAAGCCGAAATGTTAATTCACCAAGGTACTAATGACAAGAAGCTAAAACAACAACACACAACTCCTGAAGGCACCAATGACGAAGCCGAAATGTTAATTCACCAAGGCACGCAATGACGAGAAGCTGAAACAATGACACATGCACCAACAATGAAGCCGAAATATTAATTCACAAGGCACCAATGACGAAGCTGAAATAACAAAGCTAAAGTGACTGTAACTGACCTAGTACCAAATTCAAGCAATAGCTCCAATAATAACGACAATCTAAGACTAACAAAAAAAAAAAATTTAAGACTAACAAAAAAAAAATATATTAGAACTACGTTGAAACAAAAAAAAAATAAAAAAAAATTAACTGATTTAATCAGTTAATAATCACTATTTATATTTGTGATTTAATGTTATACAAAAAATTGGATAATTCTTAAAATCTATATTGTAAAATGCGATGAAGTTTAATTTTTGTTTAAAATTTAAAATTTTCAAGCTATAGCTTGATGAAACCTAGAATGTATTGTTGAATCAGACAGCTTTATAAATATAAATAATCTTTGCTTTACTCAATCAAGCGATGACTCTATATATTAAACTACCAAAGATTATACGGATTTAAGTATTTATTTTATTATTTAATTTATTTATTTTTTTATTTATTCCAAGACATTAAATAAATGCAAGCAAGAAAGATGCCAAAAAAGTGAACCTATTATTTAAATCAATACAAATTTGATGAAATAAGAGATAAGTATTAATAAATTGAATTATAGTAGTCGATATATAAATTTCAAACACTAACGATTTTTATACTTATTGACTAATGCGAATATTGATACAAGTACTACCAAAAGAAATAGGCTTTCAAAATTTATTATTCATTATTTACCAGATACTGCCCATGAAAGATCTGATTGTAATATGAATGTTATGTGATATGTATCATATATGTTACTATCAGACTTTTCAAGGGCTGAATCTTGTAAATAATAAATAATAAACTTGAAGCATGGCATCTCATTTTCACTTGGCAACACGA